GGTTTTTCATCACATTAGTTGAAATATGATGATGGTGTTTCTTATTTAACTAGTTTTATGTACTGGTTGTGTATACACAACCATTTAATGTTATAGATCGACTCTTAGCCTTAGTGACGTTGTTTGATGCAATGAATGCTCGTTTTTTCGTAAATAAGTAGGTTTCTTATCACATTTCACGAAATACGATTCATACAACTCATACTGCTAGTTTTGTTTTGTTGAGCTTACTCCCGTTTAGATTGATAGTGCTTGCGGAAGATACAACGGCGCAGTCTTCTCGAACAGGCCACAATTGGCTTTACTGGAGCTGTTTTGTTGACGCTGTTTCCGAGGCAATTCCACTCGATTCCTGTAAAAGCGTTCTAAGCTTTCGTCTCTCGTTTGACCGATACCATCAGAGCAAGCAGGTACCATTCTTGTAACCATATTCGGGCAAAATAGTCAATAAATCTCACCGCCTCATCCATAAATGCTGTATATATACTTCATATCTAAACTATTTGATGAGGTATACCTTAATTTGCTTAGCTTATGTCCAACCTCGTAACATGTGAATTTGCCTGTCTGTGTGTATTTATCTGCCTTCAAGTGTTCGTATATGTGCTACACCAGCAGTGGAGGCTCAGAGTAAATAGTACAAAAAAGTAACGTATATTCTTGACCATCAAGGTTTGATGACCACCATCACCTCCTCTCAATGCTTATTTTGACTAATCAGAGTGATTGTTTCATACATTAAACACACACACATAGACATTTTCATATCCTTCGAGGTTGACATGTGACTTGAACTAACCAAAGTACTTTATACCCCATCAAAGAGCTTGTATTTAGGATGTATATACTACATTTATGGATGAGTATGTGAATTTTCTTGACTTGTTAGCTAAAATGTGGCTGCCAAAATGATACCTCCTTGCTATAATGCTGTCCGTTATACGTCAGACGAAAGCTTAGCACGTTTTCACTGAAATCGAAAGAGATTGCCTCGGCAACTGCATCAACAAGAATGTTTTAGTAAAGCTAATTTACAGCTGGTTGAGAGGAATCCGCTGGCGATCGTTTTCTGATGGGCTCGATCTTCGAATCTCCTCACCAAACACTTTCACTTCTTTTTAATCTAAAAAGAGGATAATTTTTTCGTTTTTCCATACAATCATGTGAATAAGTCTTTGGATGCCATTGAAGTTTATCTCCTCTAGACTGATCTGGACTTGAATTCGCATTCGTCCTTGCCCGGTTCTCATCAGCACCCCATCGACGAGATTTGGTATCCTGGCGACGAAAACGAAAACGAAGCAAAACCTCTTTTCTCAGTAACTATGCACTTTCTATCTCTCCCTTCGTATTGTGTACCATGACACGATGGTGACTTTGACAATATTCCCCCATTAATGATCTTTCTGGATCCGTCCTGCCGTCACTTCAAACTCGCAGGCAGCAGCGCCGGCCAAGACTGGCCCCTGTGGTACAGATCGGCTTGGAGACCCTTCTCCAGACGCGAGCGGTGCCCGAGTCAGGCCCGAAAAGCCCAACTCCTTTCCCGCCCTGCCAAAGGGCTCGTCGGTTGTCGTCTTGCCCATCCACCTCGGCCTGACGGGGGGTGAGACGACCCTCCTGTCATGGTTGACTGGTCCTGGCTTCCCGCACGACCTCGTTCTCCAGGCAACCTGCATGTCTCCATGGCGTCTGGTGGCAAAAGATCGCGATGACAACTGCCGGCCGCCTGCAGACTCCGAGGCCGGAAGGCTCTGGCGAGATCGGCCCGATGGAATCGACGAAGAGGAGGCCATAGTAACCGGAAGCGGGTCAGGAGGGCGAAATGAGGAGTCGAAGGAGGATTCGAAGGATGAGTCGAAAGAGGAGGTGAATGAGGAGGAGAGTGAGGAAGAGGAGAAGGAGGACGAGAATGAAGACGAGGACGAGGAGGAGGGTTGGATCCAAGTGTCTCCCGTCTTGACAACAGTCGTCCAGTTGGTGCATTTCCTGCGTCTGCCGGCCTCGAAGCGTCTCTTGTTGCCCTGCCTCCTGGATCCGGACTGCCTGTTTGCCGGACTCATCTCGTCGCTGTGGTCCACCCTCGGCGCCGACTGCTACGAGATCACCGCCGCCTCGACCGAGGCCCAACTCCAACAGGCCAAGTGAGTGTTGGCCCTCAGTTTGGGTTGACATGACGTCTCGGATGGCAGCACACGCCAGACTATTGTTGAATGTTAGGCTCTGCTCAAAAGGCTTACGTGTTTCTGGTTGAAGTTGTTGGAAATGGGTTTTTGAGATGGTTTACTTTGGCTTT